TGGAATCTGAATCTTGTCAGTGACATTTTTGTGCCAGGAGGTTGGCTGCCCTTTCATTAGTCTAGTTGAGAGAGAAACCAAACACGCAATTTGGCCTGGAGCGGCGCGGCGTAGAGAGCAATGATGACGAGGACTTGAGATGAAAAGGAGAGGCCCTCGGCGCGGCGGCGGTCGGCATGTAACACATATTAGCGCCTACAAGACTGCATGAATACTTCACACATACCGTCAAATACAGTGCGTTCAGCAGCGGTAGGCGTGAAAGGCATAGCGCCTACAAGAGTGTAGGAATACTTCACGCATTGCGCCAAACAAAGTGCAATCAGCACGGCGCGGCGGTGGAAGTTAAAATTATTAAACCACATGTATGTTTGTTCTTTCATAATTTTTTGGTTCATTTCTTATAAATGGAGGACCTTGTCCACATAGAGATAGGTTTACGAAACCTAACTTTCGCGCAAAGTTCCGTGAATTTTTGCTAGTAGTGTTGACAGGGCTTCCGCAAAAAATGTAGCCAACACGAAGTTGACAAGTTTTCTCGAAAATTCGTGTTTAATCAGAGGAAATACGGCAACGTCAAAATATTCTTACACTGTTTTTCTTCGGCACGGCAGCACTGCTGTCACTTATCGGGGCGGCGCACAATGGATTGAGTCAATTCGAGAGGTTGAACATAGAATTTTCCACTAAAAATGCAAATTTTTATATTTATGTCGTTATATTTTCAACTGTAAGGGGTGGTTCTGGAAGAAAATTTCACAAGGAAGCCAATGGAACTACTTTTAGAACCTCAAAGTTTTGTATGAACGGAGTTTTATTCGTTTAAAGTTTCCAAATTTTGTCCGACCTCTCCTATTGACTCGATTCAGTGTGCGGCGGAGTCAGCGCTAAAGGCTGGAGTAGGGGACGGAGGGGGTGTGGGATTCTTCTAGGCCCTACTTTGAGATTCTTTGTTAGTGAAGCATGAAGCGACTGTATTAAGTCATCAAAGAAGGATATTGCCCATAGGAAGCGCTTTGTGAGCTATTGCATGACCCAGGCCACGACCGGCGGGGAGGAGGGGGTCGAAGGAGGGGGGTGGAAAACCTCGGCTTGTTTTTATTAGCGCAGCTCACGCGAAAAGAGGACCTGACGCAGCGTGGGTGCGATTTCGCGGAATTTGCAAACGCGGGCTGAAAATCTCGCTGCTGGGTTAACCGACGTCTCCCGCACAGCGCTTGTATATAGGGTGTTGCAATTTTGAAAGTCAATGACATGCTATCTAAATTGGGGGAAAGGAACTTGGTCGAATTAAAACATACTGAAAAAAAAAGCTCGGTCGTATGAGCAAAAATTCGGTGCTCCATGTCATCCTAACTAATACGGTTTGTCAAACCATCTATTCGGTTTGTCAAACCGGAATTTCGGTTCGTGTAACCGAACTTCAACGGTAAAGTGCACTGACGAACAAAGGTCGGTCATATGAACCGGATCTTCGGTTACCCACACCGAACGTTTAGTTTGACAAACCGAATAGTTGGGATGTTATAGAACACCGAACGTTCGGTTCATATAAGCGAGCTTTTTTTTTTCATTGAAACGTCTCGTTTTGATGTTACAGCTGCGACACCCTATAGTGCCGTGGGTGGGAGGTGATAAAACAGGGTACACAGCGACGATTGCCTTTTTGCAACGAGCAAAGCTGGGATTTACCGGTGATCGAAATTAAATTTCTCGAAGGGATGCGTCAACCGGTGATTTTTAACCGAAGTTGGCAACAGTGCTGAACATGCATGTTCCCGGCGTCTTGTCTGAGGTTAGCGGTTAAGATGTAAAGGTTGGTGGAGTGGAATCACTGATTGAGAGAAATTCACTAAACTATGCCGCGCAAGAAACACTACTAGACGAAAGAAACGTTGTGATCTTACTCTCAGTTGGACGTATTTATGAAAAAAAGGAACTATGCTAAAAGGAACTATGTCTCATGCAAACCCAATGCACATAGTTCCTTTTAGCATAAACACGTCCAGTTGAGTTTCCTGCTTCTGTAGTTACACGTCGGAAAACACTGCTCGCCGAAAGAAATATGGGCGTTAGTTATTATTTTTAGATGTGACCGTCAAGAAGAAAAGGGACCTCAGGGATAGACTTTTTAGAGCGCGGGAGGACAGCAAAACTTTATCAAAAGAATCGTTATGTTCACGTGTTAATATTTTCAAAAATTGCCGATATTGATGAAACGTGTATTTCATATTATTGTCAATGGACCACTAGACAAGGTACGAATTTCAGCATTCTGATACATGTTTCTTAACCAAAATTTCACGTAAAATGCGATGCGCACAGCAAAAATTACCGAAATTAACTCCTTACTAAGATATTTAATGATTCTTGATACGTGAATTCAAACCACCCGCTCATGAAAACTCAATGCTCTACGTGATTCACATCGCGCGCTAAACGTTTATCATGATAGTCTCTACGATATAAAAATCTGAAAACCTCAATCTTGACGCTTTGGCTCAGCTATAGCAAATTTCTTGTGGTTTGAACAACACATGATGGGAAATGAGCATTGCTCGATCGAGAAGCTTGCTGAAACCGTTGTAGTGCGCGATTTGACTCAAGTAGAGCTTTGAGTTTCTTGTGAGCGGGCAGTGCAAATTCCTCGTAACCAATGTGAAATAAAAACGTTAATATATTCGTTAGGAGTTGGTTTCAGCAAATTCCGTTGCACGAATCGTGTTCTACGTGAAATTCTGGTAAAGAAACATGTATCAGATTGCTTAAATTCGTACCGTGGTCCATTACCAGCCCAACTTTAAATATTTTTTTTGTTTTGTTAGGTAGCCAGCGCTATGGGTTAAAATGAAGTTGTCAACTTACATTAACATGAACATGAAGTATTTATTCAATGTGAGTTAACAACTTCATTTTAACCCATAGAACTGGCTACCTGGTAAAGCCTCGTGACATCGCGCCTTCAATTTTGCAGATGCGACACGGATATCCAACAATCACGAATAGTTGTATCTCTGCGCCGTCATCAACGCGAATCATTTCCCTAGATATATTTCCATATTGTGTTGGTCCGTTTGTATTATTTTTAAAGTGGTGTGGTTCAACGTCTACGTGAGCAACTCAGCCGATGATAAGAAGAGACGAGATAGGGCCTTGTTGTTTGGCTTTTTTCCCGAATCTAAGCGATACTATATTGACAAAATAGAGCGGAGCTTCGCGAAGTCACGACTCACTTCATAACGTCTTCAATGTTACTCATGTAATAAGGACACTCATCAAGCGCGAATAGTTGGACTGCATTTTGCAATTTGGAGCTATAAATTCTGGCTCATTTGAAAAAACACTTATATGCATAGGGAAACTAATGGCACATGCGTTGTTTTTGAACCGGGCTGGAATTTATAGTTCCAAATTGCAAAATGTAGTCCAGTTGTATCCATACGCTGTGATCAACCCGTGTTGACGTAAATCTTATTCTTGAACTTAGAGAAAAATCAAGGTAAAGTTTGCTCAAAATGTGCTATGATGTGTCGAAATCAATGATCATTTCGAAAAAAAAGGAACGAAAAGTAAAAACATGGTTAGAGGTCGCTCAAGCGCCCTAATTTGAAAATCTATCAAAATCGATGTATTTAAGTGCGAGTCGATTTGATTCGACTTGGAACTTTGCGCATAAAAAAAGTCTTGGGAATCTACGAGTTCATAAAACAAACTAGAGGCGAAGATTCTAAAATACCGCAAACGTGATACGTGGTTTAGGAGTTTCGCCGTTGTTATGTATAAAACACGAGAATAAGATTTTAAATTCTAGGATTAATACAAAATAAAAATGTTGTGTTGTGAGATGATTGTAGTACGGGTTGCACACCCAGCTTCCGAAATTATGGTTTCGTGTTCTTCAATAATTTCAAAATTTTGTGAAATATCACGATTTACCTCATGGACTTCGCATTATTTTCAGAACTTTTAATTCTCAAAACAAATATACTAAACCGCTCGAAAAGGCTGCAAGCTCTGCCAAACAAATATTGATTTATCTTGACCGAAATTGCCCTGAATGTAATGGATATACGATCCGTCAAACTTAATTTCCGAACAGTCATTACTTAATAATTAAAAGGTTTTGCGTTCAGCAGCGCGGTTATAAATGTAAAAATAATGAATAACTCTTTTGTCTGGGCGTCGATATTGGATTTGATTTTGATTTATAATCATGAAACAAGTATGCAGGAACGTATGCATTCATAATTAAATCTTGGAGTAAAATAAAGTAACAGGCTGAGTGTGTGTGTATAGCTAATGGTCATTACTCAATTTTTCTGTATGATATGTGTTTTTATGTTGATAAACGTGTGTGCATAACCCCTTAATTGCAGGTAAATCATTTGGTTTTCAGAAAATAAAGAGAAGGGGCAACAAATGGCGTGCTAACATGCACTCTATGATTTTGTTGCACTTTCAGCATCGCTGCATCAATGCCAATATTCAATGTTGAAAAATGTTGCAATACGTTCCCACCACTTAAAAGGAATGAAACATTTTTAGGAAGGTATTAACATTTTGATAGTACAATTATATCATCATACCGGAAAAGAATATGAATGTACCACTGATTTTGACACTGACAGTGTTCACGATAGTAATATTGAGTTTCCATGTTGAAGCTAAATCGATTTAATTTACTTGAAGATGGAGTCAAGGGAAGAAAGAAAATCATGGTTGAGAATCAAGTGGAGTAATTTAAAAGGATGAGGGTTAAATGAATCGAAATATGGTCAAAAAGACGAAAGCATAGTAGAAAAAGACTCGATCGGATCTTCAAAATGGGATCAGAATATCAGCCGTTCCTTACTCAAACTTTGTGACGACTGCTATGCCACGGATCCCCTACTAGCCGCAAAGAAAACTTCCAAATGCAAACGACGTAAACTCGCCTGGTTCTCAAAATATTTGACGCATGCGCATGCTTGAAAAAAAAAATTAATATCATAAAATCATACCTGAAATAGCTTTATGGATGTATAAAGAGCTGCATTGAGAAACGCTAGAATTGTTGATAAAGTTACCAAAACCTGATGACGGAAACGCACTGCATCTAACGTCTGTTTTTAGATTGACTCGTAAAAGTTATCACTAAACGGGCTTTAATTACAGCGTGAGAAAAATATCTTAAACTCAGAGGGTCACGGAATAACTTTTCTCATCAAGAAACGAACTCGCATAAACCACTTGAAACTTCGGGATAAAGAGTTTGATTGTTTCGGTTCACGTTCACCGCTTTGAATCTCCGATTGAAGAAGAATGTCGCACTTATGTTCGAACATGTACTTTTACACTTGCTATCAAAGTGGGGAAAAACATTTCAAAAACGTTAATTTTAAAATATAAATGGTTTAAACCAGAATTAGCTCAACTACATGCCACGATGCCTAATTTTAACTCGTGTTTTCCATCTTTGAGAAACAACTGAGTAAACTTCCTCACCATGACATTTTGTCTGTATGTTTTTCAAGTAGATATGCAATGGAGAGGATTCATGAAAAATGTTGAGCCGTTAAAATGCTCGTTCTACCATTAGAAAAAAGATAAAACTTGGGTGGAACTTAGGCAAAGTTAAAAGCAGTTAGGTTAATTCTGGTTACCTATCTGAAAGGAATCAAGAAATAATGATCCTGCTATGAAAAGTAAAAAGAGTTAGAAAAGTTCAAAATAATTGGAACTGATGGGTAGGTTTGCGTATATGCATTTAAACATAATTCGTGTTTATTTTGGTACGTTTTTCCTACAGTATATTCTTGACATTCCTTAGCACGGAGAATTTCAACTATATCACGCTCAACACATCTGTTTCGGTTCCATTCGTAAGAATGTAAGTCATTTGAACAGAAAAAATTTTACGATACGTAAATTATTGATAATTGCTCACGCTATCATTGTTTCCTTTTCATTTTCGCGATAAGTCGAACTACCGAAAAAATTATCGCGAGTTGAGAAGAATTCACTCAACCTTGAAGGAAGCACCCGCCAGTATTTCGTATAAATATTTTCTGAAAAATGTTGTTCTGCAATATCAATTGACAAATTATTTAAGGCAATATTTAAAACATGAATCTCAATCCTCTTTTAAGCAGAGTAAACATGCATGGAAGGAGAAGAAGAAAAAAGAAAAGGAAGAAGAAAAAAAGAAATAGAGTAAGTGGAAACAAAGAAAAAGTCGGTTGATCAAAGTTAGACGGCTTTCTGTGAAAAAATCAGTGCCTATAAAATCAAGGGAAGACCTTATTTATTGGCTTTATTTGAAAATCGGAAGAGACAAAAAGCAGTTCTTCCAGTTAGGCCTTTTTTCAATCGATACTCATGACTCAGAGATCAGAATGTCGAGAGAGGTGGCTCTAAAATTAGAAAAATGATTAATTTTGTTAAGGAACGGACTTAAGCTTCTAAAGCCTTATACTTGTGCCTTCTTGGTCGAAGTGCCTTTCAAGCATCAAACGATGAGAGAACTCAAATGTTTTGACAAAGCTTTCATAAATTCACTCGGATTTTGTTTCTTCAACCTGGAGCTATCTAACTTTACTGCTCGAATTTGTTTTACAGATGATCTTTTTCCTGTCTTTCTTTTGTCTCTCCCTTTTACTACAGGGATTACCTTGGGCAGCATACAAAGTATGAAATCATTTAAACCAAGTCTCAAAAGCACAAAGAATCAAGAATATTCTCTGGAGTGAAAAAAAAATGTAACTTAAGAAAATAATCTACACCTTTACAATTTAACTGAATTGCCTCAACCTACCACAAAAAGTCAGCGGTAAGAAATTTGGGGGAGGAAGGGGGATTTTTCCTCTTTTTCTTTCCTTTCTCTCGTGTGCTAATACTTATTCCTCTTCATCTTTTCTTTTCTTTGTTGTTTCTTCTTGTCTTCCTACCTCCACTTTTCCTCGTTCTCTCTATCTGTCTCTACTAAATTAAGATCATCAATTGGAAAAGAGACCTCAGTTCACAGCGCCAAAATTTTCAACGAATCGGTTTTAGTCAAATCAGGAAATTGGATTTTAGATTTCGACGGCTAAATCTCTCTCTTATATAATGCCATGAATAATAATTTGCGAGCATTTATATTCATTTTTATACCAGAAGAGAACTGGAAAAAAACATGGCAAATTTTATCAGAAGTTCGGTAAATTATATCATGATTCAACTAGATTTATGATACTGTGTTGTAAAGATTACTATGTATCTGGTAGTGTTGACCATATTTTTGGTGAATTTTATTAGAGCTACGATATTTACTAGCATAAATTCTATTGATGATTACAATACTCATATCACAGTACCTTAAACCATACTATTTTCTGTGTGAACATGATGGACTAGAATTTTAAATAGCGTTTTCTCATAATTGTAATCATAATGCGCGTTCCTTCTTCAAATTTTACGCGCCAGGCGATTAACGTTTAAAATTGGGAAAATTAGAAAGTAGCTGTCCTATACGAGTTACTAGCAAGTATATTTAAGGTCGTTGTAATGAAACGCAATTCTTACAAATGGTGCCATTTGTGCTTTTGCCGTTTAGCTGATTTTAATTGATTAAGAGTAATTATGAATGATTTTGCAGTTCATTGCTAAATTTCCAGTTATACCAAGGGTGCTTTTTCATTTGACATGTTGGAAAAGTAATTTGCAACAAAGTACTATAGCTCGCACGCTAACCAAGGCCCCATTCTGCCGTTCAAACGCTGCAATTCCATTCCAAATTTTGCATTTATTTTACACAAGAAGGCGTATTTATTCTAAAAATGAACTATTACCAATGAATTAAATCAGTAGGAATTATAAGCGTAAGATTTCCGTGCTTCACAGTTGGACTGCATTTTGCAATTAAGAATTAAAATATCAGGCTCATCCGTAAAAACACGTAAGTACAAAAGGAAACTACTGGTACAAACGTTGTTCTTAAATTGAGCCGAAGATTAATGTTTTCAATTGCAAAATGTAGTCTAGTTCTAACTGATTAGCAAATATCTTTCGTGAAATAGCACACATGCGTATACTTTAACTCCTATGCTACCGTAATTGGAGGACAGCAGCTAAAAAACTGGCGGCTGGCCGTGCGTAGAAGAACGGCATGGATTATTTTAAGTAGTAAGACACTAAACAAACTTTTGTATAAGTATGCTAAATATGTTTTTACTAACTTTGTTTACAAAAGGATAAAATTAAAGTAGTTTGCATCAATTTCATCGAATTTCCATTCATTTTACGAAAAGGACTAGCCGACTGACTCCAGATTATCCGACCTTTCCTTTATCCAAAATGGCCGACCGCCCCATTAGTTCGGATACTCCGAGATTTACGGTAAAACTTTAATTTATTTTTTTTAGGGGAAACAATTAAAACATACAGAGTGCAGTTACAGCGTTTAATTTTCGGTCGGCAGCATTGTACCCAGTAAGGCTGAATCCCGGGGGGGGGGGGGGGGTTCTAAAAATGTATCCACATTATTTTTTCATTTTCATTTAGTTGTTGAGGAATCTTTCATGGTACTATCTTTACCGAGAAATCTAAAGCAACTGGGCCTAGGCAAATATAGGAGCGAGGGTGTAGATCAACGGTGGAGCTTTTTCTAAGAGTTTTTCTTTTTTTTTCTAAAAATGTATCCACTTTTTTTTCATTTCCAAACATTTGTTGCTTATCAATTCTAAAATCAAAACCAAAAAAGAAGCTATTTTTACGTTTCTCGTTAAATAGTAAAAAAAAATTGTAAAAAAAACTTGAAAAAAAACGAAACAAAAAAACTGAAGAATCTTTCATAGTACTATCTTTACCGAGAAATCTAAAGCAACTGGGCTGGGGCAAATATAGGAGCGAGGGTGTAGATCAACGGTGGAGCTTTGAGCTTTTAACTTTCACGTGGTCGAGGAGACCGGGATCGCGGGACCGGCGACACGTCGCGCGAGGGAACGCCGTCGGCGGAGAGAAACGCGAAGCGTGCTCCCGGACTGCGACGGAAACGCGAACTCCAGAAATCCGAAACGGGAGAGCGGGCCATGGCCCGGTGCCGGAAGTTACTCGAGGCGGCGCCGCGATCGCCTGCAACCGGCCACGCACCAGAGCGCGCCACCGTCCGCCCGGGCCGCGACGCCTCTGCACCGACGCCCGCCCACGCAACGCGACACGACGCCACGCGTCTGGCAGCGCTGACCGGGAGCCGTGCGGCTACCGTGATAGCGATGAAATCCTTCAGTGCAAAAATCAAACACTGGAAAAAAAAAAAAACAAGAAGAAAAAATCCAACATGAGTATGTTGGAAAAGCGTGCCGAATAACTGAAATGTTGGACAAATACCTCTTATTTTCACGTCTTTGCTTTTTGCATCAATTGGTACTTTTTGCTAAATTTGGGAGAAAATATTGATTCATGAACGTTGAATGTAAATTAATTTTAAAGATTCCGTCCAATTATCTTGATTTTAAGCTGATTATGCGGCATTTGCGCACGACCGTGATTTGGGCGAACTGCCGTGCATCGAAATCGCGTTCAGTTAATCTCTTTGGACTTCGAACTGTAACTTCTCTCCTATTCGGCCGATTTGTACAAATGAGGTCTCTTTTTATTTGTACTTAAACGGAAAGTCAAGAAAAACTCGCTAAATAGACGGAAAACAATTTTTGAGAAAATTTGGTGGATCCTGGCATCACGGTGAATGGTTAATCGGTTAATCGCCTCGCCGTCTTTTATTGCCTTGCTCGAAACCGGACACCCAAAGCTATATCGCGAGATAACTGTAGTGGTTTAAGTAGATTTTGGCAGGGGCCATGGTTAGTACATAGTATAATGAGTCACGAGGCTCATCACAGATTGCACTTACAGTGCAAGACGCTCATTGGCTATAGAGTTTTGGCGGGAAAGAAGGTTCTAGAGTTGAGTCCTCCGAGCGTAAGAAAGCTCCTATGAGGTTTCTGTCAAATTGAATAATACGGTTTTGACAGAAAAATGTTCTCAAGGGTTTCCAATTAGCAGTTCATTAGATTTTTTGGTAAAAGACCATCAGGGCTTGACAGTGTAATGGTTCAAAGACAAAGAAACGGGTGCGAGGAAAAAATTATTTGGACGACCCGTTGAATAGCATTGGTTGATCTGTGTGCTGTACTATGGTACATCCGAGTGATTTCAAAAAGCGAGCCCTACTGGCACGCTTAAAAAACACATTGGATGTTGAGTCCAGACTCTTGAAAACATTGACAAGAAAAAGGACTCTTCATTCAATCAGATTTACGCTTAAATCAAAAGGAAATCTGCTCAAATTAAGAGGCTTGGTTCTTGATTTAAGCTTAAATCTGATTGAATCAAGGGTATTTTTTTGTCGATGTTTTTAAGAGTCTGGACTCTAGATCCAATGTGGTTTTTTTTTTTCCCCCAGTGAATTTTGAGAAAATGGGCTCATTGTCAGTGGCGGGTGAGCGGAAAATTTTAATATAATATGAATAAGGAACAAAACGACAAAGATGCATAATAGTCCCAAATGTAACGAGGTACCCATGGAACGCACAAAAAATAGGTAAAAAAGGCTAACATCATATTTACAGCCTTGTTATAGCCTGTGTATAGTTTCTAATTTTTTGTGCGTTTTTCATCTTCGTGACGGAGGGGCTATCGAATCGGTTTCAGGACATTTTGTCAACGGTTTTTTGTCCGAGCACCTGTTTTGCCCGGTAGTTTAAGTCCTTGTGTAAAATTGGCATCAGTGACTTGGTCCAAAGCGTCATTTTTTATGTGTAAAATTATGATGACAATATTGAAATGAGTAAATTGAGAGAGAAGGAGATGTAGTTATGATAACTCATTTTGTAAATGAAATATTACTTTCTCCTTTTGATTCATTATTTCAAATTGTCATTGGTGAAAATTTGGTTTTATTTTTATCCTTAAAATTTTCGAAGCGACAGCATCGATACTAATCTCAATGAACCGTAGTTGTGTTGAAAGGAACTACTGTATATACAAAAATGAATCAAAGAAAAAAAAAAAGAAACACACTATCTTTGGTTTTAATTTAACCCCTTTGTACATAGATCTATCAGAGTCAAATACGTCCTATTTTTTGCGTTTGGCTGCGCATACACCACGCTGCAGCGCAGAGGAAGCACAAAATATAAAATAATAATTTAAAGTGCTTTGGAAATTATTAAAGACAAGGAATCATCTGAATATTTACAAAACACACAGTATGTTTTACTTAAATACATATTTTTCCCCCCATCGATTTAGATGAGGATAATTCATGCAGAGTGCAAACATTGCAAAATAATGAGTTGAAAAACGCTGACTCTGCGAGTTTGAATGTTAGATCCGAACACGGGCCAGAGCGTTGTGCTGTCAGCGCGGGTCGCACACTGGCGCCTACAAACCTAACAGGGATACTTCACGCAGTGCGCAATGCGTGAAGTATCCCTGTTAGGTTTGTAGGCGCCAATGCGCGTGTCGCGCTGGTCACTCTCGCCCGCCGCCGCGGGGCGGCGTACCACGCCCTTTGAAGCAACTATTTCGCAACAGAGATGCTGTACAGCATCATACGAAATTGAAGGCGCTCCAACGTATCAACAATGACAGGCATCCTTTGAGAGTCCAGAGCTTTCCTCGCAAAATAAATAAAGATACTACGGCACAAAAAGAGAGCAATAGTCACAAAACTCACTAAGTTTTCGCGTCCGTATTCAATAACGTTTGGCATAATTTTTGAATTTCATCAGAGAAAAAATGTCTCAATTTAGGCAGAGACATTGTTGAGTATGCTGTAAAGAAGATTTTACTTTGAATCAAGAATAAAACCACGGAATGAAAGCTGGTTTCTGCTCGACGTAAGTGACTATTCTCTTTATGTAAGCATATTTTCTTCTTCATACGAGCATTATTTTTTTTTTTTATTGATTCATAAGGAAACCTTCAAGGCGGTAATTAAATAAATATCTATAAATTTTGAAGCTAGCTTCCCAAGTAAAAATTCTCAACGGAAAAATCGCTATATATTGCGATTTTATCGGCGATAAAATCGCCAGGATCATCAACATCTGAGCAATTATCCTCGATCTTATCGCGATAAAATCGCACTTTCATCGCCCAACAATTTATCGCGATATTTTCGAAATAAAAATCTCGATAAATGGCGATTAAATTTCGATTTTATCGAATCTGGGGCCGATTTTGCCGAATGATACGGATTTTTCGGCATTCGACTGCAAACTCACATTTTCAGCCAAAATCGGCCCTCAAACCCATGTTTAGACCAATATTAGATCCGAATAGAAACCAAAAATGACCAAATAATGCTGCAATCCGTAAGCTATAGCGCTAAATATTTATTAGGAGCTTAAAGATCTCCCTAATTTTGGGTTAACTTTTGACTTTTTTCGCTCAATAAAAAGCCACCGCACAGTGGGCACAGTATTACACATCCATGATCCAGACGTTCAAATGTTCAGGGATTAAGGCCGAGTGGAGTCTGTTCCTGCAGATCCACTCTTCCGTTCCTAGAAAGTTCGTCGCCACCACCGGTATTCGAACCCGGGATCAATTGGATTGCATTTTGCAAAAAGGAACCACTAGCATTGCAAAGATGTTAAGATGCAATAAAATTGCGGAAATCGTGAAAAACTATGGAATTTAGATGGTAATTTTTGTCTTAAATTTACAGTTTTTAGCGAGTAAAATAGAAACTATTATTGGATAATCGGGTTTTTCCTCCAAGACAAAAGAAAATGCACAATCTTAGCAACATTGTAATGCTAGTGGTTCCTTTTTGTAAAATGCAATCCAATTGATCTGGAGTCGGACGCGCTGACCACAAGGCTAACCTGACCGGCTAATTGCTGCCTCATGACTTTAAATTAGAAATTTTTGATGTGTCTACTCTGATCTACGCAAAATTTTAATGAAAATACATGTGCCGTTGGTGCTTAATCTCTTAAATTGGCTAGTAGACCATTCGACAAATACTTGGATGCAAAAACAACCACGAGGTACGTTATACGCTGTGGTTACATGAACTTAGAATGGGTACCACTATTGCGAAACGTGGTACGCTTACTGTATTCAAAATAAATGAAGGCGCACAACACATGTAGCGCCGAGCCGCGCCGCTTCATGCGCTTTGTAACGATGCGATGTCCTCATACAGTTTGCACTTTACGGTGAGGTAAAATAAAATTGTGAGATTTCTCCAGTTTAAAAACGTAATTTTTGAAGAAGAAAACCGATCCTTGTAAATAAGTAGACTAATCGTCGCTCTTCTGACGTAAGGGCGTATCTCGATTTCAACGTGAGCTCTGTTCTCTGTATAAAAGCATACTCTCCAGGGCTCATGTGAAAATATAGAGACCCCATTACGTCAGAGGAGCGACGTAGTTAGGCATTCAATCTCTCCGTTGTTTCCGGTGTCAAACTTGAGCTATCCCAAAATTTTGAAACTGCATGATTTTAAAAAAATCAAACTAAGTCTTACGAAATAAAAGCTTTGCTTTTTCCATTAATTTAGAATGTGACGGGGAGTTTCCGTTGTTACAAACCGGTTGATGGGGCGATTAATTCATTGTTCCTCTTTCTTCGTTATCCTCTCCTAATTTTTCTTTCTCTCTTTCTCCAAGTTTACCATCGATTTCAGATCTTTTTATCTGATAAGCTATAATATTGCTTTTTAGGACTATCTGTAACGATTCATTATCAGTCGATCAATTTATTGATTATATCTGGATTTTAGAACATATGTTTTCAAATATTCCCGAGAATCACATTATAACTGTACATCAGATATTCTGATCCAAGATTTGATCGGGGATCACACTGTTGTGACACCGAAACTACATTCCGAGTGAAGTGCTGTAAATCGCTGTATTTTTAGGTTTGCTATGTTCATTCTAGACGTGTACTGTCAAAATTATTTCTAAGTGTAACTTGTGTGTGAATACCCAACGCACATCGATGTGATATGCCTTTTATTCGAGGACAGTGAGAGATTATCAGTTCATAAACGAGTATTGAACGGTTTAGGAAAGTGCTGAGGATCCACTAGGATTTCACCATAAAGAAATTAAGAGTTATAATTGAACACCGTTATAGAGTAATCAAATCGTGTGATTTGCACAAAATTTAGATAAACATGTTTGTACTTAGGTTTCCTGCCACTGAATATGAATAAAAAGGGCGGCTATATTTCAGATATGTGCAAGAAGCGTACCAAGATAGTGACAATGAAACCTGAAAAATAAAATTTGTTTAACAAGAGTTATTACTACAGATTCTCAATACTAGCAGCAGGACGCTGTGGACTAAATTTACTCCTTCTGTACCTTGTGTAATCACAGAATCATTGAGGAATTGCCTGCATTATTACTGTAACCAAGAACCATATTTTTTCAGGGCTAAGATGCATCGATAGACACGTTGAAAACAGGAAATAAAGATAAGGATATTCATTGCTGAGATGGTCTTAAAATCCGACGGGCCGTCATAGTCTTTCACGAATTGCGCAAAAGAATACATCGAATAAAATATGGAATTCACCAGTATTGAACCAGACTAGAAAACACTCAATATGCTTATCTTAGATAGTCGCGAGTCCTAGGAGAGCATCAACATGGAATAGATAGACTCTGCTCGATGCCATTAACAGCTTTCACTGACGGTGTAAGTAGAACAAAAGCTTATAAATAAAACCACTCGGAGTGAAATCTTTCAGCGAAAAAATTAGGGAAAATTTTCAGGTGGCACAATATTCCATGGACCACATACAAAGTATGGAAGAGTATGAAGAGTATGGACAGATCGCTTCATGGAGGGCTTAGGGCCCAAAAGTGCAGCCACCCCTCTAACCAACTTCTAACGCTCAAAATTTCACTGCCAGTCGGTAGATTCCAATTCTAACGAGGATGGCTAAGAAAGTACATAAATGAGCGTTCTTCCGCAGAAATGAGTAAATTTATGCAAAAACTAAGTCAAATACGTGCTTTATAAACGATGGTTTGTAACAATTGTATTAATAAATCGCTCTGGATAATTGAAATTCATAGGTTGGCTGCATTTCTGGGCCCTAACTTTATTCGCGGAGGCATCGGTGAAGGCCTGATGGATTTTCGGAGTTTCACATCTGTCTATACTCTCGCTATACAGGTACTCTAACAAAGTCATTCCTTAAACAGCTCCTTTCTTTGAGATAGTGCCATAGGATTTACATTGTGATCAAGATAGGTTTAAGGAGCTTGTTAACATAGCATTACAAAAAAAGAAAATTTTAGAAAATATCGAGTAAACTTCTACTGCATGAGTTCGGAAATCGAACCCCATGTGGGTTGAAATGCTTTGCAACTACAGAAAATAAAAAATACAAAAGGCAAAATTCTATGGTCTTTACATAGTAAGGTAGGTACGGACCTATAGCTTGAAATTTCGAAACCTGCGTTTTTAATTTTCTAGTGGGGGCAAACCATCATAATACCTGTCACGGGTCAATTTACATGCAGATTTCAAAAGTTGAATTATATTCCTCATTCGGTAAAATTGTCTTTTTGGGGGGGGTATCTCATTTAACCTCATTTGGACGTATTTCTGCCAAACGGAACTTTGTAGATTAAGACATGAGCCCTGAGATCCATATGAATGTATACATAACAGGGATCAGGGCTCACGTCATAATGTACATAGTTTCGCACGGCAAAAATACGTTCATTTAATCACAATGTATACAATAATATTGAGGCCTCCTAACGAAAGAAGCTGTTTCGGGGACTTTACGGGTTGTCACCGTCAGAAAGTACCGGGAAAACCGGGAATTGTCAGGGAATTTGAAAAAGTCAAGGAAAACCTAGAAATGTGAGGGAAAAATTATTAAGCCACCCTTATTTGCTCTCAAGGGTGGGTTTAACGTTTCGAACAACAAATTTTGCCTGAAAACTATTTAAAATTGAGTCTCATTAACCATCTGGCATATCTTACACTCTCAGGGTAGTTTACGAAAATTTGTCAGCGAAATCAGAGAAATGTCAAGGAAATTCAGTTTCTAAATTCTGTGGCAATCCTACGATTGTGAACATAGCTCTAAGACGAATTAGTGCATTATTGACAATTTTGCCTGAAAACTATTTAAAATTTTGTCTTTTTAACCATCTGGCATAAGTATCTTCAACTGTCAGGGAATTTTACCAAAATGTGTCGGGAAAATTTCAGTTTCAAAATTCTGCGGCAATACGGCCCTAGGACGAATTAGTGCAATATTTGAGTGGAATAAAATTAGGGAAACACAGGTGTACGGAATCGCATTGAATAGCCGTCTCGGGCTCATTTCGAGTAAATTGCTGATAAATGCCCTTATCGCGTTGGAGAGGCGAGATAAGCCCGGTATCTTCAGGATAACCTGGAAGAGGAGTTTTGAGAGAATTTTTCGATCCTTGCCTCTCCATTTGAGTGCGGTCTGGCTGAGGCACCGTACCGGCCGCTGTCGTGCCCCAACTTCAAAATGGAGTCCAAAATGTGCGGTCCCTTTTTCCTAGTGTTGACCCTTTTGATCCGTTTCAGTGCGCCGGCCTTCGTGCCTGAAATCCCGCTTGTGAAGTCCGCGAATCCAAATGTGCAAAAGAACTCCAACATGACCATCTACCGGCTCCCGAAGAACGTGGAACCTTTGGAGTACACGCTCAAACTGAACACGGACTTGACGGACTTCACGTTTAAAGGCAATGAGGAGCTCAGGATCACCGTTATCGTGCCTACGTCGAACATAGTGTTGAACAGCAGGGGTCTCGAGATCTCTAAGGTCACCGTCAAGAACCAGAAGGGTTTCGACATTTTCTCCAACTTCACTATGGACCCGGACAATGAGCAGATGTCAATCTACTGTCCGGAGCTGACCATGAAGAGACAGTACACGGTGATCATTGACTTCTCGGGGAAGCTCAGCGATGACATGCACGGATACTACCGGAGTTGGTACACCGTTAAAGACACCAAAAAGTGAGTGGGGTTTATTTATTGGGAATTGAGGTGACGAAGGGTAAATTCTGAAAAACGTGACTTGATAGAGAATTTGCACAAGAAAATGTTGCTTAGTAAAATTAGCTTGCATGATCTTTTTTTTTGCAATACAATAGTACTGTTTAAACCCAATTACCATGTAATTGCAATGAATAAATTCATTCCTTGTCCTAATAACACAGGTTGCTACCTGTTATTAGGACGAGGAATGAATTTTAGACATAATGGAGAGCCATCAATGTGATTTCGGTGAAATTTGACCGATAAAACGTTACTCAGTTGACTGAGCCTCTTTAGCGTGACAGCGGGCCGATTATTAAAATTAATTATAGACAAAGCTGTGGGCGAAGACGACAAAAGGGATCTGGAGGGCTCTTATTGGTGGTGGCGGGTGGTTGCAATGAACAAACGAGGTAGGTAATAGACAAACTAACGGCAACCTATAGAAATCCTATAATTAGTCCATCATTTTCTCCCTAATCTGTAGGAACCACCCATTTCAAGCAACAGAATTGCTCCATACTCCCTAGGTCTTCTTTGTCTATAGCTTTGTCTATCAATTTCAATAATCAGACCGCAGACCTAGAGGACGGCATCTTGACGACGCCTTTTAGGCTTAAGTAGGCTCAATACTGACGGAAGATGAAATTTTTGAATATATTCGATTGCATTCTCAAAGTTCTTGGATTGCCACACGTTCAAATATAATCGGATGATTTTCCCGGAAAATCGCTCCATCCTACCAATTCTGCTATCACTGTTCTGTCACTATCCTGTCAATGGAGATGTTGCATGTGTGAGGAATTTGCGATTTGACTGTTGATTCTTGTGTAAAAGTTCGCGAGAGACACGATGGTGCCACTGGTTTTCTCCGAAATCAACTCCCAAGTTCAAAAAATGCTCTCAAGTTGAGGCCAAAATGGAGGGGACATCCCACGCTATCCTGAGAGTCCACCTCTACATCAAAACAAACTCTCCATGCAAAGATAGGGAGCAAATACATTGACAGGGCTGCCACTTAATTTTGGGACTCCAAAACTGAAAACACGGCAACCCTGCTAATGTATTAGCTCCCTCTATATTTGAATGGAGAGTTTGTCTTGATGAGACGTGGACTTTCAGGGCAGGGTGGGATATCCCCTCCATTTTGGCTTCAACTTGAGAGCTTTTTTTGAGCTTGGGAGTTGATTTCAGAGAAGACCAGTGGCACCATCGTGTTTCTTGCGAACTTTTACATCAGAATCAACTGTCAAATCGCAAATTCCTCACACATGCAACATCTCCTTTCCGCTTTCTCTCACATTTTCAATTAGAAAACGACATTGGCAGTAGGTTTTCACTTTTAATTCGACAATTCGCTCCTCGGGCCCGATAATCGAGCAGTTGGACTGACAGGCAGCGCTGGAAAAATGATGACGAAGAACTGTGCAAAGAAAGCGTGAATGCCGATGACACTGAAACTGACTAATCGTTTCGGCCAAAATCAGGATCGTGGCCCTGGGCCCACTTGAATCGATGATGTTTAAAACATAAAAAGTCAATTTTCTGATGAGCCTTGAGATCCATAAGGATGCTCATACTTTAAGACTCATCAGATATTGTGCTTGTTTGATTTTAAATCAATCTACTCGTTACCTCAACGCTCGAGCCGTTGCGCAGCTGAAGATAAGCCAGCTCCCTCTTTCGATGTTTGACGGCTCTGTTTACTTTGACGCGAGTTTCGACTCGATTAAAAAAGAGTAAAAGAAGGAGAAACCACCGCTGAGCCGGAGATGATGACGACCAAGCTTAATTTTGAGCTAAAAACTAGTTCGTTTGGTGGAGAAGCTTTTTTTAATGAGAAAAAAATTGCCTTTGATTTGAGGAGAAAATGTTAGATTGAAGGAAATACGTGAAGACCAAGCTTCATTTGGAGCTAAAAACTAGTTCGTTTGGTGAATTGATGGAGCCTTACTTAAAAGCAGAGTTAATAAAACCAACTATAGAGAGGAAATTGTAGAGAAGCTTTTTTTAAGTGAAAAAAAAATGCCATTGATTTGAGGAGAAAATGTTTGATTTAAAGAAATACGAGAAGACTAAGCTTGATTTTGAGCTTAAAACTGGTATACGTTCGGTGAATCAATGGAGACTTTAGCAGAGTTAATGAAACCAACTTTAGAGAGAAAATTGTTAAGTTTTTTTTTTTTTTAAATGAAAATAAAAAAAATCGCCTTTGATTTGAGGAGAAAACGTTTGATTTCAAAAAATATGTGGCTTAGCCATCGTCTAGGAGATACATTTCCCTTTAATGTAAAAAAAGAGAAATAGAAATTAAAAGGGGCAATGAATTTCGATGCAGGGATGGGATGTGGGGTAGAATCTGAACTGCTGAAGTTTGAGATTCCCGGAAGTTTGTGGTTTGATGAGGGATAGTGACAGTTGGAGGTCAGGACTCATAAAATTGAAGTAACTGCTNCTGACTAATCGTTTCGGCCAAAATCAGGATCGTGGCCCTGGGCCCACTTGAATCGATGATGTTTAAAACATAACAAGTCAATTTTCTGATGAGCCCTGAGATTCGTAAGGATGCTCATACTTTAAGACTCATCAGATATTGTGCTTGTTTGATTTTAAATCAATCTACTCGTTACCTCAACGCTCGAGCCGTTGCGCAGCTGAAGATAAGCCAGCTCCCTCTTTCGATGTTTGACGGCTCTGTTTACTTTGACGCGAGTTTCGACTCGATTAAAAAAGAGTAAAGGGAGGAGAAACCACCGCTTCTGAGTAGGAGATGATGACGACCAAGCTTAATTTCGAGCTAAAAACTAGTTCGTTTGGTGGAGAAGCTTTTTTTTAATGAAAAAAAAATTGCCTTTGATTCGAGAAGAAAATGTTAGATTAAAGGAAATACGTGAAGACCAAGCTTAATTTGGATCTAAAAACTAGTTCGTTTGGTGAATTAATGGAGCTTTACTTAATAGCAGAGTTAATGAAACCAACTTGAGAAAGAAAATTGTTAAGAAGCTTTTTTTAAATGAAATAAAAAATTGCCTTTGATTTGAGGAGAAAATGTTTGATTTAAAGAAATACGAGACGACCAGGCTTGATTTTGAGCTTAAAACTGGTATACGTTCGGTGAATCAATGGAGACTTTAGCAGAGTTAATGAAACCAACTTTAGAGAGAAAATTGTTAAGTTTTTTTTTTTTTTTTAAATGAAAAAAAAATCGCCTTTGATTTGAGGAGAAAACGTTTGATTTCAAAAAATATGTGGCTTAGCCATCGTCTAGGAGATACATTTCCCTTTAATGTAAAAAAAGAGAAATAGAAATTAAAAGGGGCAATGAATTTCGATGCAGGGATGGGATGTGGGGTACACGGAAAAAACAAGACTAGTGTTGAGCACTACTGGCCGTTTAGTGGGGAGTAGTTGAGGGCTGGCGTCTAAGCGCTGTACAGCTCAACGCCGGAAGGCAGTACAGGTGGGCACTGAACATGAGTAGTGCTAATCAGATGCCGAGAGACGTAGTTGCGCTTAACAGGTGTAAATTCACCCTTGAGACGTCCGAGCTTCGATAGCCTGGTGGTAACGCGCTGGTCTTCCACCGGCGCGACCCGAGTTCGATCCTAGGCCGAGGCATTTCATATTTTACGCTCGCTCCAAAGTCACTTTAGGGCTTGACACTACTTCTTCCTTAGTGACCCAGCCTCGAGCTGTTTAGTGCCCAGCACTCCTCTGACTTGCTGGCTCCATTTGATCTAACCCTCGTTAGTGCCCAGCACTAACATGTAGGTCCCAACCCTAAGCTCGTTTTTTCCGTGTAGAATCTGAACTGCTGAAGTTTGAGATTCCCGGAAGTTTGTGGTTTGATGAGGGATAGTGACAGTTGGAGGTCAGGACTCAAAAAATTGAAGTAACTGCTGTAAAAAGTGGCAAACATGTCGATATCAATTTGAAAAAAAAAAAAAAAAATAATTTGAAATCTAAAAAAAATCTTCCGCACTCAGGGCCGGATTAAGGGGGTGGCCACGTGGGCCGCGGCCCATGGCGAAAAATCTATAGGGGGCGGCAAATTTTGCAATTTTTTAAATGTAGGTGTAGACAATTTGGAGTGTCAACTCCCCGATGACCTGTGGGAAGACCGAGCTTTGTGGCGATTGGGCGTCGAAGAGCGCTGTAAAAGCGACTCATATGTATGTATAGAAAATTCGAATTTAGAAAAAAAAATTACAAACAAGAAAAGGCGACAAAATCTCTAATTTTCTGAGAGAATAGAAATGTCTACTTCTGTCGTCTTTCAGTGATACAAGAGACAGCACCTTTAATTAGTCGAGCTAAGAGAGAAATCAAACACGCATTTTGGCCTGGAACAGCGCGACATAGAGAGAAACAATGACGAGGACTTGAGATGAAAAGGAGAAGCCCTCAGCGCGGCGATCGGCATGTAACACATATTAGCCCCTACATGACTGCACAAATACTTCACGCATTGCGGCAAACACAGTGCGATCAGCGTGAAACGCATAGCGCCTACAAGACTGCGTGAATACTTCACGCATTGCGTCAAACACAGTGCATTCAGCAGCGGTCGGCGTGAAACTAATAGCGCCTACAAGACTGTTGGAATACTTCACGCATTGCGCCAAACACCGTGCGGTCTGCGCGGCGCGGCGGCGGAAGTTAAAATCATTAATCCACATTTATGTTTGTTCTTTCATAAATGTTTCGTTAATTTCTTGTGAATGGAAGGCCTTGTCCACACACAAAAAGGCTTACGAGACTTAACTTTCGCGCAAAGTTCCGAGAATTTTTGCTAGTGGTGTTGACAAGGCTTTCCCAAAAAATGTGTTCAACACAAGTAAACGCGTCTTATGCACCCCTCCCCCGCTGGCACGTTAATTTGATGGTTTTTATTGATGTTCAAAAACGAATGAGAAGGAGGCGGCAAAAGGCGGCCCACGGGCGGCACACTAAATCCGGCCCTGTCCGCACTTAAAAAAATAGATGATCTGGAGAAGAAGAGTTTTCTTTAAATCGAACACAATTATTTTTTTTATTAGTACTTAAATTTTTTCTTTCTTTCGGTGAGGAAAAACGTTATTCAACCATTTTTTTCTTCGTGCAAAGCACTCATGCTTCACTTAATAGCTTCAAATATCATTTTGTTAAAACTACCGAAGTTCAACTAGCATCTCAACACGCCAACTCTCGATGACATGAATGAAATTAGAGTAGTCTCAGACACATCTTCATTAATTTCGCAGAGGACATAAGCTAGTTTGAGCAATAAAAGCTACGATAAACTGATAAGGTTCAAAGGAATGCACATTTTTTTCTTATCGAGTACGTTTAGAATTGGAAAATAATTTTTAGTAATGATCGTCTTAGTAACAATGTTGGTCGATTGAGGAAAATTTGAGGTGGATCGGGTTGAACTTAACGATACAAATCCACTTACTTGCACTTCAAGGTATAGAGTCTACCATTGAAATAATTGACATGAAGGCTGTACAAGTGTAATAAATGATAAAATTTGATAAATTAATCTTGAAGAAAGCGAAGAGTTTTAAAAGCCTCTTGAAACAACCCGAGATACTACAATTTATTTTTAAGTTATACGTGAGAATTTGATAAATTTTAGGAGCTACCGGTTCTTGGATGGTAAACATCAATTCAAGAGGAGACTTGAGTTTTCAGTATTTTTATGTATGCGCAGGCTTCATTTAAATATATTTATCTATTTATTCATAAACTCATTTACCGATTAATTGCCTCAGCTGAATGTCATGTAAGCACGAACTTCCCCTGTAATCCCATCGATTTAATTATGATTTACACGATCGATTTACACACAATCCGATTTACAAACATCACACATTGATTTACACACAATCCGAATAGATTTGTGCGTATCGTCTTGGGGTTACCTCATAATCGCATTTTCAAATAGTGGAAATTGCGGATTTCATACCTCGATACCTCCATTTTTCAATTAGAATACATATAACAATCGTAAAATTCACATGCTTTGATTAAAATGTATCTAACCTGTCATTGTCTTTTTACAGATGGCTTGCAATCACACAATTCGAGTCCACTTATGCAAGGAGAGCTTTCCCATGCTTCGACGAGCCTGGATTCAAAACTCCGTACACCATCCACCTTGCCGTTAGCCAGGGTCAAACTGCACTCTCAAATATGCCAGAAGAGTCGAGATCAAATCCAGAGTGAGTGGAGCCTTAAAATATACAACAATCTATTAGTTTCTAGGAACGTAAAAAAAAAATAATAATTTTGTGATAAAGTTGGACGAAATTTGCCGTCGCACACTGGACAGAGTAAATACGAGAGGTCGGACAAAATCCGGACACTTTGAAAGCTTATATTCTCGGAAATACAAAACAAAAATGTTTAAAGGTTGTTCCGTTGGTTTTTTTCGGGAAAAATTCTTGCAGAAACACCCCTTAAAATTGAATTTATGACGAAATAAACATAAACATTTGAAATTTTAGCCCAAAATGTCATGTACGACTTGTTCTATAAGCTCGTTCCACTGTGCGTCGTGAGTGGAGACTCAAATTGTTCAGTACAGCAAAAAAATCAGTTCGAGGTACCAACTTTAAGTTTTCAAAACATATACAACCTGTATCCTGGTATGAAAATGTTTGACCTTTCATGACTGTTGATAGAGCGAATCTAACGGTTGATTATTTTTTTTGAAAATCCTAGAGACTATAATGCATGATTTACCCGTCATTTTTTCTTGATTCATTTTTATTTTTATTTTTTTTCAAAACTCGAAATTCAAAATATGCATTACAAGAGCTCTGCGCTTCAACATAATGGTCGACTTAAAATAGGTACGCTACTCGGCATTGAATCACTCATATTGAGGAAAAAGACACAGTTTTTGAAAATGCAGCTCAAAGTAAGAGCATTAAAGTTTTTACTTCAATTGAAAGGCTTGGAGGACAAGGCTCATGAGTGCAGTTTTTGAAGAAATTGAGATATTCATGAAACCAACTAGGACAAGTTAGAAAGTATATTCTGTGAAAAATTCACAACGAAAATCCAACTTAAAAGCATCAAAAAGCGAGTTTAAACTTCCTTTTCACCATAAGGCTCCATGTAATTTTGAAACTTAAATCACTTATTTCTTGAAATAGCAAAAACTGACCTTATATGCCTTGTCCTGCAAGCCCTCATTTATTATCTGACTCCGAAGAACAATCGAGTGTCTTTAAAATACTGCATAAAGAGATATCTAACTCGTTTCATCAACAATATTGTAACGTTCCTGGGAGCTGAAGCGGAAACTATGAAAATCCGTCATAAAGTTTACATATTCTGTTTTGCGTTATGGAGACACTTAGTGTCGCAATTTTATGGAAGTTTTCCTGGCTCTTTTTGAGGGAACGAGCAGAAAAGGGCCGGTATCTCGGCAAAGTTGGAAACTCCTCTTTTATTATTTTGACGAACTTCAATCAAAAGAGACTATCTCCATGGTGAGATGATCCCAATCATGCACGCGTTCTTATGAGCCTCAGGGCCCAAGCCACAATGGAAATAGTTCCTTTCGATTTAAATGCGCCCATTTCCACTCGAAATGGCATAAGACTCATTATTCTGATGTTCACTATCAGATGGATTTTTAATAACTCACGTACATTTGAAGCATCGAGAACCTAGTTATAAATGACAGAGTCATTAAACTGAAGAAGGTAGATCTGTATGATCCTGGTGGTGCACTTGAGAAGACTGTATCTTCTGTAAGATGTATGAGCATTATCGTCAGTGAAACAGTTCACCTCTTTTGTGACAATCTAAAGTCCTTAAACGTAGACTTTTCATAAAGGTATGTAAGCCTACGGACTTCAGTGGAGTTGTAGATATCTCACTTCGAGCAGTTCTTGATCACGTTTTTCAACGCGTTGTGCTTCAGCCAATTAATTGATAAACGCGAGGTGAAAATAGCCCTGAAGCTGAAATTTCCAGTTTTACAACTGAATAAAGTTGAGAGCAATATTATGGTGCTCAATGTTGTAAAACAAAAGTTGCGTGTAAAAATTGAATTTACGATTAACTCAGCGTTAACGAATGATATTACAGAGCATAAATCAGTAGAGCACAGCAAGAATTGTCTCAAGTGTTTCCGCGAAATACGTTAAGTACGTCGGAGAGTTCCAAAATTAATGTAGTTTACTTTCTTAGGGAGAAAAGAAAATTTAAAAAAAACTTAAGTTTGCATAGAATTTTGAAACTTTGTCCTGAGTAGGAAAACCACACTGCCATAGAAATCCGGAGTGCATTTTACACCGGACCCTTTTTCGCCTCAAAAATCCCCGATTCATAGGAATACATACGATACTTTTAATAGTACGTGCTAAATTTTACGAGCCAAAACCTGCCAGTTTTTCTGTATGACATTAAAAAGCGACATGAATTTCACACAACACAACAAACCGATGTATTTCCCTAAATTTTTCGTCGATTTAGATTAAAGTAGCAGAGTAAGAAGCATGAGTTGTTACTTCAATATTACTTAGTCTAATAATGTCGTCACCTTCCGGTCAAAATATCACAAGTGTCATGCGACGTTTCAACAGTTCCGCTGTCATTTTTTTTTTTTTTTTTTTTTTTCACAGAGAAATTGTTGGTTGAATCTGTTTGAAAATTTCAGTGAACTTTATCGCCAGCACGAAGAAAGTACAGTGAAATTTTCGGACAACTACGTTGAACAATTTTTTTGTAATAAAATAAGATGGCTGAGGAAATTTTGAAACGTCGCATGGCGCTTGTGATACTTTGGCCGGAAGGTGACAGTATGTTCTTGCACGAGCTCAAGAAACACTTCAGACGGTCCTTGTATATTTTTGGAATCATATTCCTCTGTTTACCGCAAACGGCAACCGTGTAGAAGTGAGTTGGGTAAAGTGAAGAAAACAAACACCATTACTAGTGAACCAGACAAAGTTATTAAAAATTATTCGATGAACTGACTGGCATACGTTATCCTCTTATCATCCACCGAGAAAATTTTCTGCTGCAAGGATAATTGTTTTACTGGTATCTTGCTCGTTCTACGTCGTTTGTTCGGCGTTCGGAGATAAAAAGTTCTATCGCTAATAAAAATGAATCATCGTTTCAGAAGAAAAATGCTCTAAAAATATGCAATCCCAATATTTCAACTTTGCTGTGCATGTGTACGCAGATGAATCATAGAATCGAAATGCCATCAAATATGATGCAACGATTCTTCCTCCGAACCCGTTATAATTCTTGGGATGAATTTATTGTATGCTCAAATTATATGCACTAAAATCGAATTTGACATTGTATTTATTGGTTTGGTGACGTCAGATGGGGATACATTGGAAATCGAAGACGAAGACGGAAAAATAAAGGGAAGCAGATGATGGTACAGAATGAGGAAAAGAAAAGAAGATGAGAATGCAGAAAAATAGGGATAGAAAGTAGAATGAGAGAGGATGGCGGAGAGGGAGAAGAACAAGAAAAAATGCGGAAGAGAGAGAAGAGGTGAAAAAATACAAAGAAAAATCAGTTCCCTCATAATCCGTGTCGTCATTATCGTCTTTTTCTGCTTTCTCTTCTTCATCGCATTTTTTCTACTTCTTGATCATTTTCTTCACATTCTTCTCCTTCAACATCTTCTGTAGAGTCCTCTCCTTTTTCATATTCTTTACCTTCTCCTCCTCCCTCATCATCCTCTTTACCTTCTTCCTCGTCTTCTTCTCCATCTTCATTATCATCTTTTTTACATTCTTCTTTCAATTGATCAACTGCTTAACACTTTCTTACTAACGTTTCCTTTCTTATCTTCTTTGCCTTCTTCTACCTTAAAATCCTCTTTACCTTTTTCATGATCATAACCTTCTCCCTCTTCATCGTCATCCTCTCCTTCTTCCTCAATACCCTCTTTACCTTCTTCACCATTATATCTCCTTCCTCTTCATCATCATCCTCTCTTTCTTCTTCATCATCATCATTTATACTTCATTCTTCTCTTTCTTCTTTTTCTTCTTCTTTAACTTTTCCTTTTCTCATTCATATCTCTCTTCCTTGTTTTCTTTTTCTTCTCCTCCTTCTTCTTCTTTTTCTTCTTTGGTTTTCCGCTCCTCATCTACATTTATCTTCCTCGATATCTTCTTCTTCTTTTTTTCCTCATCTGTTTTGTTCATCCCTCTGCCACTTCCTCTCCATCTCCTTCTTCCGTTCCTTTCTATTCTCCTTCTTCCGAATGTCAATACGTCCTCATCTACCACACATAAGGAATCTTACGATCCAAGACCTTCAGACAAGGATCGAAAACGGCATCTTCGACCAGCAGAACTAACCGCAGTCCTCACTGAAAAAAAATTCTCAGTGTTTTTACCAAGGTCCGTTGGTACCTTTACCATCTCACTTTTTTTACCAATTATTGGTAATTTTACCAAGACAGACTGGTAAGCTTACCTAAAAACCAGTATTTTTACTGTTTTTTTTTTTCAGGTAAGAATACCACTTTCATTGGTAATCAATTCCCGGTAACTTTGCCATTTTTTCTCGGTAAATCTACCACAGTCGATAAAAAATATTGGCGTTTTTACCAAGGTCTAGTAAAATTACCGAGAAAGTTCAATGATTTTACCGAGAATTCTCGGTAAAATTACCAATTCCATAAATGGTAATTTTACCAAGAAAAAACTGGGATCAAATAGAACCCTGAATTCTTGGTAATTTTACCCTTCTCTTAGTAAATACACCGAGATTTTTTTTCAGTGCTCGTATTTCCTCTTTTCCAGTGCATCGATCGGAAACAAGGTATGGGTGAGGTTCCGGAAGAGCGAGCCGATGCCGACGTACCTGGTGGCTTTCTCGGTGTCCGAGATGAAGGTCTACTCGAAGGACAACCAGCGGGTGCGCGTGTGGAGTCGGGAGGACGCCGTTGACGACACCCACTACATCCAGGAGGTCGGCGAGCGGCTTCTCACGGCCCTCGAGCAGTACCTCAACGTCAAGTACAAGCTCCCCAAGCTCGACATCGTCGCCGTACCCGACTTCAGCGCCGGGGCCATGGAGAACTATGGACTTACAACCTACAGGTAAACCACCCAACTCTCACCAATAGCACTTTTTTCCCGAGTTTTTCCCATTTTGGTTCGAAACTTTTCCGCGTGCGGTAAATGGACCGCGTTTAGCAGAATGGAACCATAAGCCACATCAGCTAATGCCAAATTTAACGAGGTGATTTAATTTTTTTTACAAAAGAATACTTTTACGCGGATTTCTTTGAAAATTTCAAAGAATTTGCACCGTGATATGCAGAAAATTCACTGAAGTTTGCATAAAAAGCTGCACAACCGTTCTCATGTAAACAATGAAATCGCCCAATTGAATGTGGCAATAGCTGATGTGGCTTGGTTCCTTTCTGCTCAAAGCAGTCCAAATGTCACGAGAGAAAAGAGGTAGGGTTGAGACCAAGCTTGATTAGGGAGTTTAAAATTGTGGTAGTACCCCAATGAATTAGGTTACTAACCCGACTGTTGCGGTGCTACCAAAATTATTGGGAATGCCCATATCATTCAACAAAATGGGGTAGTACCACAATTTTAGGGGATTACCTCTTGACATTTTTTTCGGTGCGTGGTGCCCGCCAATGTGAGTGAAACGGGGTACCCCCTTGAGGGTAGTAACAGAACCATGCGAGCGAAACTGGGAACTTATAAAAATGAAGACCAGAAGGGCACTCGAGGAGGGTCTGAGAGCACAAAGATAATGCTACAAAAAGGAATCTGCTTCGGGGCACAAAAAAATTAATGTTCAGCACTTCAATATGGACAAAATAGTGAAAAATTTGATTGTACTGCCGAGGTTGTCAATTAGGATTGTCCGATACGCCTGTTTTGATTTCCTCAGGCGAACGTAAATTATTCATCCTTTCCAAAATTTAGCAGCAAAAAATAATTTCAGAAACTATCGGTTACCTACAGTATGCCTTATAACTGTCATTCACCTTAAAAAAGGACCTCTTTGACCTAGTGGCTCATAGGGTCCAAAAACTATGTATCATTTCACCACGAAATTCTGACTTTCATTTGGGTCTTATCGAGCTAAGAAGGTTCTGGATTGGGTCCGTCCTGGTAGAAAGTGGAGAGGACGCCTTGCCAAATCGTGGATTTATGGAGTAAGGCAGGAAATGATGAGCTGAGATTTGCCGGAGGAGCTCTGGCAGGATCGCTATCAGTGGCTATTAGGTGTTATATAGCGCACAAAAGCGTTTTAAGATATGTTAATTAGTTAGCGAGAAAATTCCAGCAGTAACACAAAAATTAATTGTTTTTAGATGTTACATTAAGAAAGAAAACGCATGAGCAAAGGCACCTTAAGATGTCTAGCGCATAGATCAATATATAGGGTGTTCCGCGGTTAAATAGTCAAGCCAGGTGTAGGATTAAGTTCTTTAAGTCAAAATAAAACTTTCCCCTTAAACAATTTTTCCCCCAGTTGGAGCAACGGAACCCCAAATTTTCAAAAATATCATCCTTCCCTTTAAATTTTTGCGAAGATTGAGGACCAAAATATATGAAAAACCTCGTCTAGTTTCAGGCGCTCATAAATTCACAAATATTTTAATTTCAAATTGAATGAACTTTGTCATGTTTACGAGTTTTGAACCATGACCCTTGCCAAAATTTAAAAAAAAAGATGATTTTTCCAAAAATGTAGGGATGCCGTTACTTCGGACTGGGCGCACTTTTGCAAGAAGCTTCATGGAAGAGAAAAGTCTTATTTTAACCCAAAGAACACACTCTACCAGTCTGGTCGTTTAACCCTACGACACCTTGTATAGACTGTTCATAAAACGATGCTGTATCTACTTCCAATTGCCTATAAGTTCGACTTCGCGAAAGTCCCACGCGTTGTGCGTCGGCCCAGGTGAGTGATCACGCCTGGATCCAGCTTGACAGCGCTATCTATGATGATGTCATCATTGAAAACACTAGAGCCTCAAGCATACCCCGGTTCTGGCTGGAACACTTCAGAAGATAACGCGCACATTTGAAGGTGAATCACTATTGTCAAGTTGCAGGAAGTCGTGCGAACCAGAAGCATTTCCTTCAGCGTAAGGAATAGGGCATTGAACATTAGCATTAGAGCATTCTTCTTGCATTCTTGAACACTCGAGGAATACATCGATTCGGATATCGATGTGTATGATTATTGACCATCCACGGGAAGAGGTGTATCTTAGATCACATAACTCGATTTGGATTGTGGATATGAGAGCATTACGGCAACAAATAAAACCGCTCTTGATATTGTAGTTTGTGCTTTCATGGACTAACAAGATCGCCTTCCCCAAGGACGATCACATGCTAAGTTTCGTGAGGTTAGGATAGTCAGATAGGTGCAGAGACAAGAGACCCTCCACTAGTATCTTGGCCATTGTGGAAGCTTTTACTTTCGGGACTTCAGCATGCTGACAGACATGTCGAATTCAGTAACGAAACGTGAATGATCGATTATCGCTATTGTTCCATTTAAAGAAAGAATCCGGTACACGGTAAAGAATCGATTATCAAGGTGTTTGTTGCCAACACTATTTATCGATTTTACTCCATAGGTTTAAACGGCAATTCAATCTATACATCGCAAAGCATCGAACGAAAGAGTGAAATCGTCGTTGATCTTTCTCATCACCAACAACCGACAACGCTGAGAGGTGTTTGACTCCTGATCGATCAACCTAGATATTACACGATTACTTTGACAAACTTTCTTTGCATTTAAAAGTTTTGACTTTAAGTTCTTCTCTCGTTTCTTGTTAGCGAAGATCCAATTTATTTGCACACGCTTCCCATTCAGCCTTTGATCTTTTCCTCTCGTCGGTGTTACATCATTCTCCGTCAGCTCATTCATTTTAAAAAAGATGGAGCTTCCGACTTTTTTAGAGAAAAAAGGACTCCATCGAGGAAAGATACCTCGAGGAAAAAGGAATTGAAACTAAAGACTTCAAACTACTGATCAACTTCAGGCTCTTACTCCTCACTCCCTTAAATTTCAAACGAACTCATTCTACGTCATGCCACTCGGACTGTGTTTTCTCATAAATTACATGCCTCCACAGACAGGGCCGGATTAAGGGGGTGGCCACGTGGGCCGCGGGCCATGGCGGCAAATCTATAGGGGGCTGCAAATTTTGCAATTTTTTTTAAACGTAGGTATAAAAAAAATCGAATTTAGAAAAAAAAATTACGAACGAGAAAAGGCGACAAAATCTCTAATTTTCTGAGAGTATAGTAATTTCTACTTTCGTCGTCTTTCAGTGATACAAGAGGCAGCACCTTTAATTAGTCGAGTTAAGAGAGAAACCAAACACGCAATTTGGCCTGGAACGGCGCGACTTACCTAGAGAGAAATGATGACGAGGACTTGAGATGAAAAGGAGAAGCCCTCGGCGCGGCGATCGGCATGTAACACATATTAGCGCCTACAAGACTGCACGAATACTTCACGCATTGCATCAAACACGGTGCGGTCATTGCGGACAGCGTGAAACGGATAGCGCCTACAAGAATGCATGAATACCTCACGCTTTGCGGCAAACACAGTGCGATCAGCGAGAGACGCAAAGCGCCTACAAGACTGTGTGAATATTTCACGCATTGCGTCAAACACAGTACGGTCTGCGAGGCGCGGCGGCGGAAGTTAAAATCATTAATCCACATTTATGTTTGTTCTTTCATAATTGTTTCGTTCATTTCTTATGAATGAAAGGCCTTGTCCACACAGAGATAGGCTTACGAAACTTAACTTTCGCGCAAAGTTCCGTGAACTTTTGCTAGTAGTGTTGACAGGGCTTTCCAAAAAATGTGTTCAACACCAGTAAACGCGTCTTATGCACCCCTCCCTCGCTGGCACGTTCATTTGATGGTTTTCACTGATGTTTCAAAACGAATGAGAAGGGGGCGGCAAAATACAGGCGGCCCATGGGCGGCAAAATACAGGCGGCCCATGGGCGGCAAGTAGGTAAATCCGGCCCTGTCCACAGACATATTTCAGGAGTTTTTGGCCGATAAATGACTCTCAATCCAACGTCAAATTATCTTAAAGTTGCCAAACTATATTTACCAAATTGATAAATCTGTAGATGAGGCGATAAAAAGCGAAGTAACATTGGAAGATCCCGCAATTTGGCGACACCGGATTTCTTCCACTTAAACCTACGGAAATGTATCGGTTCTTGGAGGGGCCAGGTGCTCGGACTGAATCGATTATTTAGCATAGGTTTAAATGGAGGAAATTCGATGTTGCCACATTGCTGGATCCGCCTCTGGAAAGAAAACTGCTCCTGCTGGAGCGTTCGAGATTTTTTAACGCTCTTTGCCTATATTTTTAAAGCTTACATAACCCTTCTACACACATCCTATTGAGACCATTGACCCGCCCTTTACCAATCACTAATGCACGTTTTCTTTTAATTTACAAAAAAAATTCACTCGTTGAAAAAAGTTGGTTGTAAAAAAGAGTATTTTTTATTTAAGGAATATTTTTTTCTTAACTTAAGGACATGCTTTCATCTTTTTTCGTTGAGGGAAATGAAAATAGGGGGAGGCGGAAAGATGGGGAGAGGGGGGTGAGAGAGAAAGAGAAATGTTTCATCATTCAAAAACATGCTACTGTGTCATTCATGACAAATTCAATTTTCTTGGGATTAAAAGACCAACTTCCACTCCAAACAATATTGTACCAAAAAAACAAAAATATTTTAGAGACCAAATTTTCGTTTTAAATCACGACACTTTTTCAAAGTTAAAAAAACGTTCTAAAAGCAAAATTGTGTATCGTCAGCCGACTGATTCCCCTGGACCTTTATTACTCCAAGTGAAGAAAAAAAGGGAATAACTGTAAAAAGCACCACAACTTTCAATTTCTCAGCGTCCTCCATAATTTATTCAAGTTCAGAGCTGGATCTCTAACTGAAAATAGCCCGTAAAATTCATATTTAAGAGCTAAATTTGGACGAGAATAAAAGCCTCCGCGGCATTTGACAAAGTGGTGGAAGAAAAAGACGATCTGGAATCTGAAAGATAAATGTGACGAACAGAGGAGCAGATAGATTGCGAAATGTGTTAAATAAATCCGTTAGAATAAAGTGAGTACTTAAATCCGCGACAACTAAAGTAAGCGCAAAATCGAGTGCTTGAGTGTAGACTCCGGATTATCCACAACATGCCGGCTTGCCGATTCTAACGGCAATGAGTATTTATGATTTGAAAAAAATGTGATGAGTGCTGTAAGATTTGACAGCACTGGAAGTCTCGATACCGAAATGTGAAGGACGGATGTTTGCGCACAGATAAAACGAAGTGTACTGGGTGATTTTTGTCAATATGAAATCAAATGATCCACCGAATCTGGGAAGAGAGGAAAAGAGAAATGGGTGACTAAAATAGACGGCTTGTTTTGAAGAATCTGAATCATATAGGGAGTAGGGCATTACCTCAATGGCTGCTGCACTGAGTTACATGCTATTTTCTTCTCTAACATACATAACGTCGAGCAGAACATCGTGCATGAAATTAAGACCAAACAAGTTGTCTGGTATGGTCATGTTCAACGAATGGCGGATGACAGATTGCCTAAGAAGGTACTAGATTAGGTGCCTCCTGGGAGGAGACGCAGAGGACGTCCAGCAAAATCGTGGATAGGTAGCATTCAAGATGAAATTACAAGATGCTATTTACCAGATGACCTCTGGGTCGATAGACAAGAGTGGCGATTAGGTGTCGCAGAGCGCCCGGGCGTGCTGTAAAAGCGACTTGAATGTATGTATGTACATACTGAAACACGGACGTCGATATAAGACAAAACGATCCATAGAATTATACCTAGTACCTTCTTAAAGAGAGGATAGCCACTGAATGATGGATGTCTTATCGACTAAGCCAACTTAGGCTTTATAAAAGCCCTGAAGGTAAAACAAATGTGAAAGTTGCATGTTAATGGTCAAAAATAATCGAAAATGATCAAAATTTTCTGGTTCCTAAGAACTTCATGAAACCCAAAAAAGCTGAGCCAATCAGAAATGAATCCCTCGATGCTAGTCCTCCTGATCATTCAGAAATTATACACTGAAAAAAAATATTGATAGAATTTACTGGTAATTTTACATTATTTCTAGCAATCGGCTACACTCCAAATATCAATATATTCAGTGCTACTACCTTTCAGACATTGTATTACAATGTTCGCTGATTTTGAGAATTTACTTTTCCTTCACGCTGTATTTTTCACACAGCATGAATTCAAAATCGATTCTGCCAGAGGAATGGTTACCTGTACCAGTACATAGTAACGTTTACCTTCCTTCTGGCAGAATCGACTCTGAATTAACGCTGTGTGAAATACAGCGTGAATGAATGGAAAATTCTACCTACCAATATTTTTTTTTCAGTGTGCCTTGAAACTGGTACGTGCCTATCCGTTTCCTACACAAAGATTGAGTGGCATTAGGAACTTGAGGGCGGGTATTTTAATTTTATAACAGCACATTTCCGGATCATTCAGAAAAGTTCTTCCGGGAGGTGAGGTGTGGTAGTAACTTGAAGCAGCTCCGACCATAATACTTGACAATAACCGTTGATTCATGCAGTCATAGACGTACTTTATTCATGTACTCAATGCTACGTCCTGCACTAGCAGTGAGTCAAATGTTAGGAAAATATCATTATTTTAATGTCTGAATTGTTGAGGGAATTTAGAACATTTTTTACTTTATGCAGGAGAGCGTACTACAAACAGGCCGAGTGGCATGACACGCCTTGTAGAAATTTCCGTGATTTATTAAAAGTTTTTAGGTGTGCGTGTCGCAAAAATACATAAATGCATCGTGGAACAATGGAACTCAATTCGTTCTCCGGCGAGTGTGTAAAATAAAATCGCCTTCAACATTGCGCGCTGCAACCCGACGACGCCTATGTTCGAACAGTTGCCACTCCAAAAAAGGGGCTTTTGGTTTGGAAGTGACTTTTGGTTTCCCTCTGAGGTCACAAGACTTATAATCGTGTTCATGTTCCAAAGCTCCATAGAGCTCACATTGTATTCAAAGGAAGTTTAACGGGACCTTTGATATAACTTTATATTAAGGACACAGTCTTTTTTCAAGCCCGAGTAACTACATTCAAGGGTATCTTTTTGGAAATTTCTTCTTCTTCTCTTTAAGGTGTTTTCTGGGACTCCACAAGGACTCTCAGTTGGTACTATGATTAGTATTGACCAGGGTGTCTACTAAAACAAGCTGGTCAAAAATAAGTAATTTTACAGTGTTTTTTCAGTGCGTTCTTAAGAAATTCCGTACTTTTTCAGTGCAACCAATTGACGAAATTCGAAAAATTTCAAAAACTTGAAATTGCGACAAAAATTAAAACATTTTTAAAAATTCCGGACCTTTTTGCGGAATTTCCGTACTATTTCAGTGCTTCCGGACCGCCCTTCAAAATCAGTACTATTTCCAGACTTTCCGGAAATTCCGGACTTGTAGACACCCTGTTGACTAACTCAATATTTTTCTCAACTTCGCAAGTGAGATTTTTCCTTAGTGACCTTCTTATAAAACTTTTCCATTATACGGACCTTTGGTTATACATTCTACTTCCGAAGTGCAGCTCCAAAGATGGAGTTCGTAATTTTGATCTTTTAGGCAAAAAATCAACGAAAAGCATATTGACAATGACTAATTTAACTTCTAGAGAAAAACTGGTGGAACTTGTGGACGGAGTGAGTACTAGGAAAGAACTCGAGTACGCGGCGACTGTCGTCGCGCACGAGTTTTCTCACCAGTGGTTCGGCGACATGGTCACTCCGGCCTGGTGGGATTACCTCTGGCTCAACGAGTCCTTTGCGCGCTTTTTTCAGTACTTCATCGCCGCAATGGTAAGCCCTCCCCCACAACGCACCCATCCACCGCACCTAAAACGTCACATCTCACCTTCAAAAGCACCCGAACTCACCATGCTTCGGGACACCACAAGCTATAGCACTCATCACCAATTTCTTAACATTCTAATCGAGGAATCGCGATCATTTGGATAAGGGCACCGTTCCACAGGCAGAACGCGACTCGAAGTCAGCCGCGCGAAGTTAGCCGTGCGACCGGGTGTAATCATTTTAAAATAACAACTTAATTTGGGGAAAAGGCTGCGAAAAAAAAAA